TAAAGTTTAATACTTTAAAGTATTAGTAAGTATTTCAAAACATTTTCCTGATTTCCATTGCAAGACTTTTACTTGCAGCAGTTTTACAGTGTGGTATTATTACTTTTATTAAAGTGAAGGATCTGAATACTTCTTCTACCTCTAACCTTCATTCTATCCCTACATTCTACTGACTGTACAAGCTGCGCCCTCCAGTGGTCAGTCCAAGAGCTCAGTCCCATTGTAACGCAATCATTCATTTAACACAATAGACACTACAACATACATACTGTTTATGCAGGTTTCTGTGAGATATGATGGAGCACAAATCAAATCTGTTTTCCAAATAGCCTTCTTCCAGACATTTGATGAGGCCAGAACTGTCTGTGCTAATAAATAAAGGATAATGTAAAACAATTATTTCCCCTCACTCTCACTGCTGTTTATATATAATCCCAACAGAAACAGGTTTACAAATTACATGAGCTGAACAATGGTGACCACCAATAATCATTGCTCACTAATTAAAAAAATTATACACCATATTATTTATCCTCCATTTGTGGGCAAAAGAAGGCTAGAAAATCACAAGAAAAGACGCATAAAATGGACATTGTTTGCTTTACATTAGACTATGGCCATGAAAACCGTTCGTCATTAAGTGGCAGATGTTCATTAAAGAGTTTGCTAGTGATGTGTTTATTGTACTGCCATAAAGTTGATTCACAAAAGACAGAAAAAGAAAAGAATAGACAAAATCTGCCTCAACAAAGGCCAAGGTGACTAATCCTTAGTCTGAGTCAAGCTCCAAAAAAACTGAATCCTACATATCCCATAATGCAACTTGATAGCATATTTCATTAAGTGCCAATAAGTGTTTTGTATTTGTTTGCATTAATACATTTAAGTATACTTTAAACTGTTAACAGGCGGATCTGTTGTCAAAAAGTGAATATGCATAGGTATGTTGAAAATAATTGTTATTTTTGTTACCTAAGAATTTTTAACTACAGAGGGAGCGGGTCCTCTTAGGCGGAGTCCACCATGTTGAACTGCCATGTTTTTCATCAATCAGTGTAATACCATGTTTCTTTCTGTTTGTTTCACAGCAGTTATGTTCTAAAGCACAAGGTAAGCAGCCATATTACTGCATTTTCTATGTGCGGTGGTACCATAGCTTCATCCTGTCTGCCCTGCTCAAACAGACACCGACACAAAGAGCTGCCATGTATTCGCATCCAGACACAGAATGCAGAGAAGAGAACTGTGCACCGTGCACCCTGCACAAAGGTTGACGGGACTCTTATTAAGAGGGATTATGTTAAGTATATACATAATTGTTTTGTTAAAGCCTGCATAATGCCTTTCACTTGAAAAAGTTAAAGTTGTATATCAGCACACACACAAGACATAGCAAGAAAGTTTAATCACCACTATAGGTCTTTGGCTGCAAGTAACTATAGCAAGACACTATATATAAAAATGGCTGAGATACATTTAAAAATTAAAGACAATTACTAGTTTTCAAAATCCACACTCACTGTAATAAACTACACAGAATAATAAACAGCAGCATCAGTAGGATAAAATGGCCTACATTAACATTTACCTCAATGGCATATGTGCAATACTGGTATAAACACAGGGCATCATGTCACATATTATTGCCTTACTGAAGCAGCCAAAAGTAGTTTTTATTCTCTTCCAAGCAGCTGTGACGACTCAGCTTTTCCTTCATCATCTGGGGGTGACTCCAACAATTCAATGAAGCCATTAATGCTGCGGTGGAGGCACACTGTGTATTTACTGCATTACCAGACTTTCATGAGTCAAGCTAAACTGTACACATCCTACAAACCCTGCAGGTTTCCAAAAAGCATCCTAAATGCTATTAAATTGCCCCATAGCAATCAATTTGGGCCATTTAACCCCAAAAATAAATAAATAAAAGCAGATTTTTGTTGAAAACAGAGTTATGAAACCATAAATAAATGGAAAATGGGCTAGATGCAGAGGTAGCCATGCAAGGTACCAACATCAGAAAGTAACAAATTCGCCACATTAGCACACTCCACACACACAGCATCAGGAGCAATTTGGGGTTCAGTATCTTGCTCATGGATACTTCAACATGTGGACTGGAAGGAGCCGAGGATCAAACCGCTGATCTTCCACCAAGAGGGAACTCTTTTCTGGTTCATGCACTTAGTTTTGAACTGTTTCAACCGCATTTCGACTAAATATAAATGGGTTCAGAACCTGAAAAGTTGGTTCCCAACTGGAACCAAAAAAACAGCAAGTTCAACCAAAGTGGGCATGTCATATTCTACATGTTTTTGTGCATTGTGTAGCGCTCTCTGTTGATGATGCAACCCCTTCCCCCATAAAACCCTGGTTCCTAATAGTACCTCTGTTCTCAGGCTCTTTCTGTCTCTCTCTGTCTCTCTCTCTCTCCCCAACTGGTGGAGGCAGATAACCACCCACGTAAAGCCTGGGTCTGTCCGAGGTTTCTGCCTCTTGAAAGGAAGTTTTTCCTTGCCACTATCTCCAAGGTCTTGCTCATGGTGGGAACTGTTGTGTCTCTGTAAATAGTGTTATAAAGAGTTCGGTCTAGACCTGCTCTATTTGAAAAGTGTCCTGAGATAACTCCTGTTATGAATTGGTGCTGTACAAATAAAATTTAATTGAATTGAATTAATAGCAATATAACCACTGAGTCACTGCAGTGAATACACTTTCTGCAGAGTAAGAGGCTACAACAGTGCCTGTATGGACAATTAAGGAAGACTGGAGTGATGGTGTCCTTTGTGGAGTACTGCAGAGATAATAGAGCCTGACTGGCTCGGACTAGAAGCAGAAGAGACACAGGCACAGCTCTTACTTACTGGGTCTATACTTTTTATTTGATGCTGTTTGTCTCACTTACTTTTCAGTGACTTTCTCTGCTGTCTAACTGTTCTCCTTCACTGCTGTCTTTTCTCAGACACTGAGCAGTTCACGTCTTGGGTACTATGCATTAATAATGAGGGTTTTTTTATTTAAAAGACAAAGGAAAGAAGTGAAAAGATAGATATTTTCCTCTTTTTTTCATTATATTCTAGAACATTACTTGTCCTCAAAAAAGAGCCTGGTAATCTTTCTCAAAGGATGACTCAGAGGAACTTTTTAGTTCACCTTCAACATTTGCTGTCCTCAATTCACCAGCTTACATTTTCTCTTCACATTTGCAGTACTACTTCCTAAAGAATCTAAGCAGAGAATGAAATGAGCCCAGCATCATACAACATCTACTGTTGTATATTGTTTGTTTGTTTCAGATGGGCTGTAATTTTGAAGAAAAAAAAGCAGGCAAAGTTAATAAAACATTAGCCAACTAGTTAATCTACAATTCAGATGACACCATCATAATTGTTGTGGGGACTTGAGTTAAAATGTTGCACTTCAAGTATTCCTGCAAATGCAGTGGTTAAGTACAAGTTCAGTTCAGTTGATTAATTAAGGTTGGGAAAGGCCATTTTGGTTGTTCCACAATCCTGGCCGTGGAGACTTTCTCTATTAGGATGCCTGTAAATGGTAAATGGACCTGTACTTGTATAATGCCTTTCTAGTTTTCCCACCACTCAAGGTGCTTTAACACTACATGCCACATTCACCCATTCACACAGTGATGGCAAAGGCCATCAAACAGAAATTAACTCACTCATACTCCAATGCACAGCATCCTGCTCAGTATCTTGTTCAAGGACACTTTGACATGCAGCAGGAGGAGCTGGGAAACGAACCACCAACCTTCTGATTAGTGGACAACCTACTCTACCCCCTGAGTCATAGCCTGCTGTACTTTGGAACAGCCTACCTGAGGAGATTAGGCCAGCTAAATCGGTTTAATCTTTTAAATGCCTCCTATGAATGCATTTTTATAATCAGGCTTTCTGTTTTTTTTCTGTTTTTGGTTTTCAATCTTTTTTTATTTACGTCTCTGATTGTTGTGTTTTTGGTTGTATCTGTCTACCTCATATATTGCTTTTAATCTTACTCTTAGATCTTATGTTTGTGTGTATGTAAAGCTAAACAGTAGTACACAATTACACTTATTCTGGACTTGCTGAATTGAGTTTCATTATTGCATACAATCATTATTTCATCATGTATACCACTTTAACTATTATTATTTTTTATTATTTACTATTCTTATTTACATATTCATATGTGTAACTAATGTGTATTTAAGTTGCTATTCCATGTCCACTTTGCCCTCAAAGTAATTTTAGTTCCCACTAAAATACTACTAGTTGTTTTAGGAGGGACAGTTGAGAGTATGACAGACTCATCATAACAACAGGGAAACTCCTCTGCACCGCGAGGAAGTGTAGTTGTGTGCAGTTTTTCCTTGTCCCCATCACCAAGTGCTTGCTCATGGTGGTACTGTTGGGTCTCTGTAAATAATGTTTTAAAGAGTGCGGTGTAGACCTGCTCTATTTGAAAAGTGTCCTGAGATAACTTCTGTTATGAATTGGCGCTATACAAATAAAACTGAATTGTACACTGTCACGCTTTGCAACACTTTTCAAAGCAAAAGTATGGTGAAGTAACAGAATGTAAATTTGGCTTAATGCTTCATGTACTACATTGCAGAAATGTGTAATTCAGTTGTCTTGCCACTAGATGGTGTCACTATACTGTTTTTAAAAAGTTCCTTGGGATTCCAAGAAGCACTAGAGCTAAAGCTGTATTCACAAACTGTTTGGATGGCATTTGCAGTGTGTGGCACTGAAGAACTTGGAATGCTTCATCTGTGTATCAGAATTATTCATCAAATCAAACGCGCCCTTCATACACCACTTCCTCAATTAATTGAGGGTACATTCAACAATCACTGATGACAATGCTTTTATTTCCACTGAGGGATGGATGGATGTGTTGATCTACATAGAATTATCTGGGTTTTAGCTTGTGGGTGAACCTTTCTGAGCTTAAAACGAAGGCTTAGAATTACACTGTCTATATGGAACAGATCTTACCTCGCCTGCCAGTGAGGTGTACAATTTCCTTCGCTCTTTTCTACTGAGTCGTTGTGGAGTCATGTCAACTCGCTCTTCTTATCAGCATGAACTGCAGAGAGAAAATAACAGACAAGTTAGGATGGACAGAATGTGGATGACTGCAGGTCTCTCTTGTACTCTAAAGTGCATTGTGAATATCAATACTATGCATATTTTGAATTATATACAATACATAACACAAGCACTGGCCAGACCATATCGGTGTCCATGCTCACTACAACATGTATAACGTCAAAAGACATAATCTCATCTCTAACACTTCAATCTGCCCTGCTGAACGATACTGTGTACAGGACTAAAAACTAGTCTCCTTACTTGTCAATGCATGGACCACAGTGCTTCTTAGAGCCCGACCAATATGACATTTTTGAAACTGATACCAATTTTTGAGATAGAATGAAAATAGACCTATTGTGTGGATTGTGCACTGATATGAGTATACAAAGCTACTCAGAAGGCTGCTTTCTTGAACAAATAACCTTTTTAAAGAATATAACATGTAATTGTACTCTGCTGGAGAAACTTTGCAGTGACACCACCATAACTGTTTTCATATCAGTGCATATCGAATAACACATACAACGACACCCAGAGGTGGTAAAAGTACACAAATTCTTTACTCAAGAAAAGTAAAATACAACAGGCTCTGAAGGTTTCTCTGAAGAACATTTCTGCCGGCTTTCTCTGTGCAAAGGTTGGGGGTCTTCCCCAAGGAAATGTTGATGTTATGTGTCTAACTTGCTGATATAAAATGTTGCGATAGTTCATACCAACTAATTAGTGTAAGATATGAGAAGGCCATAATTCCACAGAGGACACTGACCTTCCCAGTTTATCACAAATTGATTGTTATTTATGTACTTTTGAGAGTCATTAATCACTTGTGATAACAGTGTTCTTGTCCAAATAATCCCTGCAACAAAGATGTCAACATGCCTGCTGTATTTTGGGGGAATTCTGGCATGCTGGTTTACATTCTACAATTAAAGACTTAGTACATCGGCTTCCCAAGTTTATACACCACAAACATACTCCTCAGTTTGTAGAAACAACAACAATAAAGTGTTCTACACCAGGTGAAGTGAATAACACTGATTATCTGGTTATCATGGCACCTGTCAGTAGGTAGGATATATCAGGCAGGGAGTGAACATTTTGTTCTCAAAGTTTGTTAGAAGCAGAAGTTTTTTTTTAAAAAAATGATTTCAAAAAATTTTTGGGTTTTGGGGTTCTTTTGGAAAAGGGGGTGTTTTTTTTTTGGGAATTGGGTTTTTTTTTTTTTTTTTTTTTTCTCCCCCCTTTATATTTTTTTTTTTTTATCCCTTTTAAGAAATCCAAAAAATAAAATGTTTAAAACAAATTAAGTACTTGGCCTCCAAATTCCCCAGATCTCAATCCAATCGAGCATCTGTGAGATGTGCTGGACAAATCTGATCCATGGGAGGCCCCACCTCACAACTTACAGGACTTAAAGGATCTGCTGCTAACATGTTGGTGCCTTTTGGTGGGACCTACAGAATATTAGGCAGGTGATCATAATGTTAGGGCTGATATTTGATGTAACCTCACTTAAGTCTCAAACTAATTATTTAATTACTGTTAAAGATATATATAAAGTATATAAGCCAAAAAAATCTGACCAAGCATTTCATAGCAACTTTCACTACTTCAAGGTGAACAGTTAAACAGGTTTTAGGTAAATACAACATCTTAAGTTTTGAAAATGTGATTGATTTTCACTATGTAAAGCTTGTCCTTTAATGTTTAAATGGACTTGCCCCTCTGACTCTGCAAATACATCTTGAGACTGCAGGGCTGCAGCAGGTCCATCAGAGCAGCTTCAAGTGGTAAAGTTCCATTTTGTAAAACATCTTTTGCTATGACAGCTTTTCTGTGAGAGAATTCAAGAAATCGAACACTCAACACTTAAAAACTGCGACTAACTTCATCACTTCTAAATAAGAGAATGACCAAATCCTTGTTAATTCAGCAAACAAACCAAAATGTATAGTTATTTTTAATGGAAACAGCTTTTAATTCTGTGTTCCTGTTTTAACCGTTTATTTCCATAAAATCCTATCCAGGGACAGGCGTTGTGCATTATCGTCCGCTATAAACACTATAATACTTGCATTATATAGCTGCTTTCTGCTTGTCTATGTTTACTGTATCAGTCCTAAATAAGGTTTTACCCTGCTTCAGTCAGTACTCATTCTACCAAGGTTCAATAGCTGGAACTCTAATTTCAGTTTTATTTGTATAGCGCCAATTTATAACAAAAGGTATATCAGGACACTTTTCAAATAGAGCAGGTCTAGACCGTACTCCTTATAAAATTATTTACAGAAACCCAACAGTTCCCACCATGAGCAAGCACTTTGCAACAGCAACAAGGAAAAACATCCTTTTAACAGGCAGAAACCTCTGGCAGAACCTGGCTCTAGGTGGGTGGCCGTCTGCCTTGACCAGTAAAGTCAGGTTATTTGATTTAATAACATGCAAGGCCCTGCTTAGCCTCTTTATGATCTGCAGTTAATCTGACGTCCACCACTTTCCTCTACCACGTGTGTTCGTGCTGCAGCGCTGCTGCCAGCCCATTGCCTTTGATAGTGCTAATAAGTTATAGAATGTTTCAATTCATATTATAAATGCAATTTATATTACATTTGAAACAGATACAGGAGATGTTAAGTAGTACATGCATGTAGTAATGACCATCTGCAGCATTTCCACTGGGCCTCTCTGAGAACTCTATTTGCTGCTCTGAAAAAAAAAATAGACTCGACATAGATCGCTGCAAGTCTGTTGTGCTTCGCATCCAGTAAACCCGCTTTAAAGTTTTATATCACGCAGCTTGACCTACTAACAGAGTTTCAAACAAAATACCCACTCAGGTTTATTCAGTTCAATTAAATTTTATTTGTTAGTGCCAATTCATAACAGAAGTTATCTCAGGACACTTTTCAAATAGAGCGGGTCTAGACCAAACTCCTTATAACTATAATAGGTTTATGTATGCGATCTGAGTGAGGAGCTAAATAAAAATTTCCAAGAGAACATAGATTATTCTTTTTGTAACAGTCACACATTTTCCAGGTTTTCCAGGACATGAGGAAACCCTGGAAAATAAAGAGGTTTGGCGATGATCATGCACTGCTCAGGTAGGCAGTGGGGCCTGGGGTGAGATGATTTCACACATCAGAAGGACCTGTGGATACCCACGAGAAGCTCAAGATGACATTCAAAGTCCTGCAATCCACCCTGAGTATCCACACACACGTACAGTGTATTTAAAGACCAGCACAGCATGCACACCCAGCTTGAACTCTAGTGACCTTTATCAAGCTGAGCAGCAGTCTGCCAGCCCTCATTACACAGCACCATCAGAGTCAGCCTGTTCCAGGAGAGCTGTGTGAGTCTGTTATTCTAGTCCAACACTGTCACATTTTCAGCATCTATCGTACCCCGTGTGGATGTTTGCTGGAGGCAAACCTGACTGCTACAGGCCTTTTTCGAATACACAAGACTGTGTGGCTTTGTGACGTCATCTCTTCAGTGCGATCAGCAGCACACATACTCAACAGGTTAGCTGTGTGGATGTGTGAGAGTAGGTGGGGTTAGAACTTGTGAGACGTTCGCAAAAGCCAAATAAAAAATTGCAAAAAATTATAAATGATCACAGACAGCCATAAACTAAAAATCTAAATGTACATTAAAGTGTCAAGTTAAAGTTAAAGTGAAATGTGAAATTTAAAACCCTAACCAAATGGATTCTAACCTGCTTAAGGGACAGTTCATTCCAAAATCAAAAATCCACATTTTATCCATCTAGATTATCGTGTGACTTGTTGGGGTTTGGAGATATCGACCGTAGATAAAACCAGATGGCAGAATTGAAAAACTCAAAAGCAATGTCTCTTTCCATTATTATTATTATTATTATTATTATTATTGAGCTGGCTAACATTAACATTAGCGCACAAGCCTCTCGTCTGTTCATAGATGCACACTTCCTTATGCTTCACTCAAGTCTCCAATACAGCAAACATACAATAAATACACAGAAGTGTATCTGAAGGTCTTATCTGAACATGGAAACATGCAAGCGGATTAGCTGGACCACATCTGAAGGTGGTCTGGCTATAACATCTGTAAATGGTAAATGGACCTGTACTTGTATAGCGCCTTTCTAGTCTTCCGACCACTCAAAGCGCTTTTACACTACGTGCCACATTCACCCTTTCACACACATTCACTCAGTGATGGCAAAGCCCATCGAACAGAAACTAACATTCATACACATTCACACACCGATGCACGGCATCAAGAGCAATTTGGGGTTCAGTATCTTGCTCAAGGATACTTGGACATGTGGCACCAGTAGCCGGGGATCGAACCAACGACCTTCCGCTCTGCCTCTGCGCCACAGCCGCCCATACAGTGTGACATCATTCTTAAATCCACCCAACAAGTTCAAAAATTACATAACTCCACCTCTTAGTACTGTCTCACAGAAGTTCTTCTAAAATAAGTAGAGCCCATACAGCAGCATCACTTCAGAGGCCCCTCCAGGCACCACCACGGCCTGCTAGATATGGGTCACATAACTTACATGGGTAGCAGAGCAAGCACTAGCAAATATGTCAACATTAATTTATTAAAGGTTATACAAAATTCCTTTGCCACTGGATGTCACGCTAGAACACCAGCATCTTAGACCAAAACAATGGGTACAACAGCCAACCAGACTTTATAGACAACCAGTTATTTTACCAAGCAGTTAATGATAAAACACACTTCACACTGGACAGAAACAAAATAAACCTCACCCAAACTGTCTTGTCTGGTTTGGTTGAAATAAATCCTTAATTCATGAGAAACAACAGCAGTTTTAGTTCCTCATCAGTAGTTCAAATCAAAACACACTGTTTAAGTCAAGTTAGCATTTATCTGAGTTTCTTGCCGTGTGTATTGCCCTTTGTTTGGCCTGTCTTACTCACCTTTCCCAAGAGTTAAAAAGGGGTGGTGACCAACACTTCCTGCTTTTATGCACTCACTGATGTCATCAATGATGTCATAGGTTGTACAAAATAGAAGGGGGTCTTTGGTTTAACATGATATTTTTTTTAGTATCCTTTGTAATGTCTTTGTAATGATGAGTTGTCATATGGCATATAGTTAGGAACATTTAACATTTTGTTTGTACTCATGTTTACAGATAGAAGTGAGATCTTGCTATTACCTGTTTATGGTGAAATGGTTCTGCTTAAGCAGATTCTTCAGTATATTTTAGGTAGAAGTTGTTTTTGTCAGTCAAGATGGAGAGATAAGGTAAACAGTGATCATGACTCAGTTGCAACTTGGGTACTATGAATCAGCAAACAAATAAAATGGACTGTGAGGCTTGCAGCAAAGGGCCACAGGTCAGAGTCAAACTGTACAAGGAATCAGTACATTGGGCTCCACCAGGTGAGCTCCTAGGGCGCAATGGCGTGTTTCACAGCCACCATAGTTTCCCCATCGTAAAAGAGAAGTAAGAGAGTTGCGATCTGCAATTACAGCGCTATGCCACTAAATCCTACACACTGGACCTTCAAATCTGAGACCATGATCAAACAGTCAGAATACTTATAGTCAGAATAGGTTAATGTTGTTATTTTATTCAGTAAATCTTGTGTTTTAAAAACTGATTACATTTAAACAGAATCTACTGCACAACACCAGTTAAACCAACAGCATAGAGAAAATTCTTGCAGTTGGGAGATTCAGGCAAACTCTTGGAGCTATTGCTGTATGCTGTATTTGTGTGGTCAGAGACTTTGGAGCAGCTGACCCAGGTCTGTGAAGTGTCTTAAACTTGCATTCTGTGCAATTAAAAACAGATACCATGCAGTCTTATGGAAAAATTAGCCGACTTCTCACTTGATTTATTAGTTCAGTAAACCGTTTCCTAATGAGTTTATGGTCTCTTCACTTGCTGCCTAATATATCCCACCCACTGACAGGTGCCATGATAACCAGATAATCAGTGTTATTCACTTCACCTGTCAGTGCTCATAATGTTATGGCTGATTGGTGTAGAAACCTTTATACTGTTTCTACAGACTGAGGAGTTTGTGGTGTTTAAACTATGGAAGTCCATTTCCACCAGTAAAATAAAAAATAATATGAAAACTTAGTCTTGATTACAATAATCATCTCAACATTTTATCTCATAATTTTGCCTTCCTGTCCCATAATTTTGACCACCCTAGACCTTTAATATATATTTTTTATCACAAAAGTTTTATATCATTATTATTTTCTTTTACTGGCAGACATTGGCTTCCATAGAGGCTGAAAGTAAATGCTAAATGAAATGCTCCTTACAGCATGTCTACTCTTCCCCGTGACTGGCATCAACATACGCTGACCAAGGGGATAATTCAATTCAATTCAATTCAATTCAATTGTATTTGTATAGCACCAAATCATAACAGAAGTTATCTCATGACACTTTTCAAAATAGAGCAAGTCTTATAACATTATCTACAGAGACCCAACAGTTCCCACCATGAGCAAGCACTTGGCGACGGCGGCAAGGAAAAACTTCTTTTTAAGAGGCAGAAACCTCAGACAGATCCTTCGGCTCTAGGTGGGTGGTCGTCTGCCTCGACCAGAGGCCAGAGACAGTGCAGAGGGACCCCCACAGATAAAAGTCAGTTTACTGTAGTTGTAGAGGAATAGTTCATCACCTTGTTAAGGCTCCAGTGGCAGAAATGCAGGCAGAAATGAAAGGTCCATTTCCTTTTGTTTAGTCTGCTTGTTATTGTGAAGCTGGCCTTGCTTTATAACACTGCTTCACACTGTGTGACACACTGCTGCACTTCCTCCACGGTGGAGACCAGCGGCTCCACCGCTGAAGGACAACGGGCTCCTACCTTGGACAGCTCCAGGAGTTTGTGCAGCCTTTCTGGAGTCTCAGCCGGCTCAGCAGCAGTTTAAGGCTCTGACAGCAGCAATGTCCGCTGCCTGCTGCTGTCACATCACCCGCTCACTGCGACTCCGGTAGCTCCCAGCTTATCTCTTCACACTTTTCCGCATCTTCCTTGTTTTAATTACCGGATCCTCGGTGGTGCATGCACGGTGTTCCGCTGCTGAGACGCATGCGCGTTTCTGGCTGGTCTGTTGTGGCCTGAAGTGGATGCTGCCTTCAAGTAATGTCGGAAAAAAGGTGACGGAGGGAAAATAAATATACGAAATAGAAGAAAATATAACTTTTAAATATATAGCTATATAGCTTTCAAACGTAAGCAGGTCTATGATGTAGACTTAAGATTACAAGTACTGAGCTAGCCAGGGAAAAAAATAAATAAAATTATAATAAAAACGATATTGTTCAGGTGTGATATACTAAAATTCTGTTGAGTTTGAAATTATAATTTAATGTACTTAAAGCTGCAGTACCTATTTTTAATAAAGAATATTTGTCATATTTCAGTCATATTTGCAGAAATATGACAAAAAGTTATCTACTGCAGCTTTAAGGTCATGTATAAAGCTGTACTGAGGATCTATTGGAAGAAATGGAATATAATATTCATAGGTATGTTTTCATTAGTGTAAAATCACCTGAACACAGGAATAGTTTTGTTTTCGTTACCTTAGAATGAGCTGTTTTTATCTAAAGAGGGATCGGGTCCCTTCTCTGGCGAAGTCCGACATGTTGAACCACCATGTTTCGACAGTAGCCCAGAATGGACAAACTAAGCACTGGCTGTAAATAGCGAGTTTCACATTTGTTGCATGTTTTGCAGCCACTATAGTTTTGTCCTATATACCTGGAAGGGGAGGGGGCAAACGGGATGACTTGGAGATTTCAGATGTCAGAGCTTAGAGTTGACCATGAAGGCAACATTACCCCTATCTGTGTCTGTTCCAGCAGCAGTAACAAGAGTCTTATTCACAAACACACACACAGTGACTTAGTGTGGTGTCCATTTACCAGGCCAGCAGTCACGGAGCAGTGGGAAGAAACCTATAGTATGTCAAAGCTGAGATGTTACACCTTACACTGTACCACAGCAGGCTCTGGGACAACAGCACACTCTAGAACAGTAGAAATTATGAATAAGCATACAGTCATATGGTTGAATGCAGATGCTCACCAATACCTGCATGTAATCTGATCAGCATTAGAATCAATTTGTTTTTTTTTTGTTTTGTTTTTTTTTCATTTTATTGTCTTATTTGTGTATGTCTTAACCTATTGGTTTTACCAAAAGACTGCGGCTGAAAATAATAATATATATAATTTATAACATCCAACAATTAATCAAACATTAAAAGCATAGCAGGGAAGGCTAATGCTATAACATTGTTTTTGCAATTTATTTTATAACTACTATATGTTTGGGGCTGGTCAGTGGAGAACAAAGCATTCAGATCCTTTACTGCAAAAAATGCAAAATGTACAAAAGTATCCAAAATAAAAGTACTAGATATTATTGATCTGGCCCAATGACAGCCCACTAAACTCGGCCCAAGTACAACAATGAATTACTGTCCAGAGGTGGTCCAGATCTGGACGCCACTTACAGCCCATGACACAGCCATATCTCAGCCGACTGTCTTTCTTTCTCCTCCACTGTCAGCACCGCTTGCCACCTAATGTGTAGACAAATAGTTAAATGAGGGAATCACACTACACACTAAACAATAGGCCTAAACACTTGTAAACCATAGCCACAAACAAACAAACTAAAAAGTGCTGGAACCGGTCTGCTCGACATAGGGCCAGAATAGAGTCAGCTTTGCTCATACAGCTGGCTCAGATATGGCTATATCATGGGCCATAAGTGGCTACCAGATCTGGAACACATGTGGACTCTAAGTCATTGCTGTATCTGGGCCGAGTGTATGTGGCTTGTGAGGGCCATCACTGGGCCAGATCAATTTTGCTATGTGGAGTCTGTTGGAGCAACCCATTACCATGCTGATATTGTGTAGTCTGAATTCATCACAAGGTGCTGTTCCACCACAAGCCTCCAAAACATCGTTTTTTTAATATAGTTTTTGGGGGGCTTTTTTTGCCTTTATTAGACAGCTGAAGAGCAGTGATGGAATAACGGCGTTATAAATAACAGGCGTTACTAACGGCGTTACTTTTTTCAGTAACGAGTAATCTAATTGATTACTCTTCCCATCTTAATAACGCCGTTACCGTTACTGCCAAAACATGCGGCGCGTTACTATAATTGAAGGTGTTTTTTTCATCAGACCAACTAGATCTTCTTCCTTGGTTAGTGGGCAGTGCACGAGACAAGCACATAAATGCTGACGATTGGCTGAGGTTGAGTAAAATTTCATGGTAAGCCAATCAGAGGTAGAGTTGGGCGGGTGTTCAAAAGCACGCAGAGTCGGACACACAACGAACAACACAAGCGAGTCAGTCAACGAGAGACAGGTATGGCAAGCCCAAATAATCCAAAAGTAGCCTTCTTTAAATGGAAGTATAGCCATTACTTTTCCCTCCAAGAAATTAAAGGAACAAATGTAATCGTGAAATGAACATTATGCCCTGAGCAATAGTGCCTATCCACGTTGGTGTCAAGTAATTCAACTTACTCAAACATCTTTCAACGTTGCATCTGACTGTAGCATTCTTATTACATTTGCATTACATTTGCACTAAAAAGAGTGTATATATTTTTTGAATAAATTTTTGGTACATTGCTTAAAGAGCATCATTTAATTTAGATTTATTTGTTGGCTGGCTGCAGCCTCTTGAAGTGAGATTGTCAATGGCCAGAGAAAGAGATTTATTTTTATGGAGATGTATTTTTTATTTCTTATGTATTACCTGTTTATATTTGGATTCCTTAGTTTTGCTATACATTGTACTTTTCAGTTAGATTGAAAGCACCTCATATTGTTACACTGTTCTACCTTTTTGAGTAAGAAAATAATATATATACTAAAAAATAATTATTATATACAGTATATCTAGCAATTGTCTGAAGTTTTTTTTGTTTTATTTGCACTTTGTTTTTATTTTTGGTATAGTGCTTAACAAGCATAATTTAATTTTGCCCAGTTGTGGCCTGTTGAGGGGCAATAAATATCAAAAGTTCCAAAACATCTATTGTGTTATTTGTATGGATCCACTATATGAACATAATATCTACATACATGGTATTTGATTGGAGGCTAGTCTCACTTTGTCCCACAGCAACATTAAAATAGTTTAGACTTGTGTACATTGTTTCTGTTAATAAAGTATTGTATTAAGTGTCCATCTCATTATAATATTCAGATTTATCATAAATAATTGAGTGTATTTTGAGTTCCGTTAAAGAGGGGTGGAGGTGGGTCACATTTGAGCATTTAAACATTTACTGGAAAGTAACGCAATAGTTACTTTCTGAAGTAACTAGTTACTTTTATAATTTGTAACTGAGTATCTAATTTAGTTACTTTTTGGAAGAAGTAACTAGTAACTGTAACTAATTACTTTTTAAAAGTAACTTGCCCAACACTGCTGAAGAGTGAGAAGGGGGGAGAGAGGGGATGCCATGAAGCAATGGGCCACAGGTCGGACTCAGACCCACAGCTGCTGCTGCAAGGACTCAGCCTTATTGGAACAGGGGGCAACAGCTCTACCAGGCAGGAAGATTAGATTACATGGATTTGTTTGTTGATTGACATATATCGTGTATAATTAAGGAACGAGAACACTGACTAATGTTTTTTTATCAGTGTATCAGCATTGGTAAACTGTCAAAATACAGTTGTTATCACTGAAAACAGCAAAAATGACTGTAATTTCACACATGGTGACTTTTGTTACAGTTCTATAACTTTTAAAATTCAGATTAAAATAAGAAAAATCAAATAACAGCACTCTTCTGTAAATGTAAGCCTTATTATATATTATAGCAGTGTTTACCTGTATTTATAGGTCATTCCTTTGTTTTTACATTTTTACATTTTTGTTTTGTAAATATCTTTAATTCAAAATAAAAAAGCAAAAAATAAATAATAAAAATTTTAGAAAATGACTGTATTTCTCCGAGTCGGTTAGTTTCTGTTATTTTACAGTATTTTCATGCCGCCACAGCAGCCGGAATATTACGGGTTTTTATTTATTTTGCAAATTTTTTAAAGGCAAACATTAGAAATTGCAGTGTGGTCAATACTGTAAGAGAGAAAGGAATTCTTATATTGTGAATGTGTGAATTGCCCTCTGCTGCTGTTGAATATGAGCAGACCTTTGGGGCAAATATGATCCTCTCTAAATCACCGCCGAGCAGCAAGGAACGCCTGCTGGTGTAATCAGATTACCTGGCCGTGACAGAGCCTGAGTGTGAGGAGTGATACCTGTATGTGTGCCAACCTGTGCCAAAACGCGCTGCGAAAGTTATTTTTTAAAAATGTGCGGAGATGACATCTCTGCTTGCAGAGTCAGTCTGATCCATCCATTGTCAGTGTCACCCTTCAAAAGCATATGCTGCTAACTACCCTCCTCCCAGTGCGCCTGCGCTGACTCTCCTCCTTCCTCCCCCCTCCCTCCCTCCTTCCCCCTGTTGGTGTAGCTCCGCTTCGTTCTGTACCTGACAGCTCAGCGGAAGATGCACATAACCAAGCCCGGTGCTCCTCACCAGCAGAGATAAAGAGCCGGGTATCGAGAGTCCAGGCTGGATACAGATAGGCTGTAGTCCTCAGCATCTCGCTCCACACACACACACACACACACACACACACAGCGGCATGGAGCGCTCCTGATCCCGGCAGGACGCCCCGGAGAGCTCAGCCATTCTTCCGTCGTCACATCTCGGATCTGTTTTGGATTTTCGGAGGCCCGACCATGTCTGCGAGAGAGAAGAGGATTGTGACCAAAGACAGTGTCAGCCTGCTGCCCTGTTTCTATTTTGTAGAGGTGGGTCGATGCTGCATGCTTCTCATTCAGAGCCGCTCTGTATCCCCATCTAACACCAGCACAGCCAGGATGTAGTCTGATGTGTTAAACTACCACCAAAGACCCATCACTAAACAGCACCCCTTATGAAGATGGGCTTCCTGTGCGACCAGCTTGATATGTCTGATACGTTGAATAATATCAAAATTAAAACAATGTATCCACAACTGAAATGTGCACAGAGCGTCGAAGATATACCTCACAATTCCTCTGTTATCTGTGCAATGTATGACATAGACATAAGGTAAAGAAATGGCTGGATTACATTATCATAAAGAAATACATTGCTTTTTGTACTTGCTTTTGAATGCATCCATTATGTCCCAATAACCTGATATTAGCAGTTCCCACACTAATGTATTGGTTTGGTGACAACATACTGTATACATTCACATAGGATTAGGGTTATATAGAAATCTATGTATTTAACATGAACACAGCAAAAGAAGTTAGGGCTGCAAGATATGGTAAAATTTGTTGATTATTTCAACAGATATTCTGATACTATTCACGATTTGTGTGTGAATGATCATTATATTATATTATATAATATTAAAATTGTGACGTGAAATTGTTTGGAGTCTGCCAAGAGAACAAGATTTGTAGGCCAGGGCATCTCTTCAGAAGACAGTACTTCATTTTATAATGCTGTTGTTACACAGTTTACCTTTATCAAACAAACTGCAGCTTCTGTATATTGCACTTGGCCATATTGCAATTTCATTAATATTATGTTTAATTATGCGGCCATAATGGAAGTTTACATGGAAACACTCCTGTATTTCAGTGGACCTACTGTCACTGCTGAAATAAATGCATCCTGTAAAATAAATCTTTAAGTTGCAAATATTATTCTGATGAGTTGTGTGGACAAAAATAACTGACTTATTAAATTAGCTTATCTGGCTTTACAGTGTGGATGTAAATGTCTGGAAGAATTGAGCAATTCATTCTCAAATCATATTTTAGTTATGTTAATGGACATATATGATATTGATCACAGGCCCCTGAATCAAATGGAATGGAAATTATAATAATACTGTATGAAACTGATGATTTCCCCTAACATGCACATTCACATTTTTTATGTAATTCTGTTTATGTTTATATGAGGTTGCTTTTATTGCCTTTAATGGATAGTGACAGCTGTAGAAGGAGGCTGTAGAGGGAATGACATGCAGCAGAGGGCTACAGGTCAGAGTCGAACCCATAACCACAGGAGCAAGAACCTAGACTTGGTACATGGAGCTCCAACAGTAGGGGAGGCTGGGGATAGTTGCAACACTCACGCTGAAATATATGTGCATCTGTAACATCTGCACATTGAATCAAGGTATGTTCTACACATAACAAACAAAACACAGTAAGTGTTATTTGCTTAATATGACAAAATAAATAAAGATTTTAATGTAAATAATAATAAATTGTATTATTATATATTATTGCATAACAACGGAAAATCCTTCATCCAGTTCAAATCGATTGTTAAAAAGCACCAAGATCTAAACAGTCGATGGTAAAAATTTGGCTTCAAACTGGATAAAAAGTCAATGTATGACAGCGTTATATAATAATAATATTGAATAAAATGACAGATTTCTCTGAGTTTTAACATTGTTGGAATCATCTGGGATAATGTAAGAACACAACTCAACTACATATAGAACATAGAGTTGAAGTTTACAGACATAATGCAGAAATTTACATATTATTGCTTTAAATGGTATGGCCAATGTAAGATGTAATTTGAATAATATATAACAAATAAGTTTTGTTTGTCTAGTCCAAATGGTCTCTGAGTAACTGAAATAAATGCAAAAAGTGTTTCATCCGTCTCCAGCCTCCCCTATCTTTTAATATGAGGACAGTCAACCAGACTCCTCTGATGATCATTAAATTTTATTTTTAAGAATATTAAAGGTTCCTTGGAAAATAATTCAAACGGACTGATGATTTTAAACCTTTAAGTACAGATTGCACACAGCTTGTGGTGACTGTCACTCGTCCCCCTGCTATGCACTTTATGCACGCTCCAGTTCACCACTGGCCTGTGGCTCTCCAATAAAACTGGCATCATTACAGAGTTGCTGCTAATACTGTATGACGGATGCTGTTGGGATGACTGCATCATTCCCATGGATTTCTCTCGCAGCAGTGACTTGAATGGGGATTCCCTCAATTCGGTTTGTCTTTAAAGCTTTCATTTACTTCTCAATGTGGTTTAATGTACCTGAACAGGAAATGTCAGTGTTGAGATATCTGCAAATAGCTAAAGCTGCCTTTCACCAAAGGATTTCTTGCCTTCCTTTTTTACAAACGGCAGGAAGCGTTTAAACTAGGTCATTGCTGAAAGTTAATTCTCCTCAGTGAACTACAGCACTTGTGCATATACAGTAATTAGGTCTACTCAGGCTCATTCCCAGAGAGAGAGAGAGAGAGAGAGAGAGAGAGAGAGAGAGAGAGAGAGTGTGTGTGTGTGCGTGTGTGTGTGTGTGTGTGTGTGTGTGTGTGTGTGTCAGTGGCCGGTTTGCAGAAAGCTGAGGTGGTGGCCCGTTCAGCTCAATCCCATCCTGCTCTCCTGTCAGCCGTGACTGCCATGTCCCACAATAGATGTGGAGAGGAGATCAGAGCATGCCAATCATGATGTATCTCTCCTACCCGGAGAGATTTACCTCTGCAATCAGAACTCCTGGCTCGTTACCTGCCTTATGCATTCTTAATGCTGATAGCTTTAGAGTCTGAAAGAGGTATCTCACAAGAGACCTAAATGTAATCTGGCTGTGCCGTAATAAGTTAGCCCTGTTTGCTATGTACACAGCCTAATAAACACCAGTTGTTTATTTGTCTTTGAGAAGCAGAAGGACCTCTGAACCACAGTTTACATCTCAGATTTTGTTCAACAGTGCAAACAAGTTTTGTGTTGTGCTGATGCTGCATTCACATCATGTTGAATAGATGGTAGAGGCAGTAAAGATTTTGACAGCCCAGGAAGGTAGCAGATTGTGGATTTGGTCATGTGAAGGTTAAAACTACTTGTGCACTGAAAAAAAATCTGAATTTATGAGTCCAATGTAAAATAACGTGAATCTGTAACTCAATAATTATAAAATGACATGAAATGAAAACACAGATATGCAGCGTACGCCTGTATTTATTGGTAATGTCATTGTTTTTACATGTGTAAATATCTTTAATTAACATTGAAAAGCCAAAAGCCAAGATTTTATGTAAAATTAAAGCTAAAATCTGTATTTTAATTAAAGAAAATTGCTGTATTTTTATGAGTCAGTAATTTTCTTTTATTTTACAGTAGTTGTGAACCTCCTGCTGGAATATAGTAGTTTAGTAGTAGTAGTTTTTTTTTGCTTTTTTTTAATGCACTTTTTACAGTGTGCAATCAAATGATAGCTTTTGAGCCTGGAAGGGATCATGCATTTGGTCATGTTTGTGTGTCCGTGTGTATCCAGCACAATATGTTGTGTCTGTCTGCAGCTAATCTCACATACTACTGGACCCAGCAGTTTAAAAATGTTTGCGCACATTCATGACTTCACAAATTATGAAAAACTTATTTTATTGGCATTTTCAAATTTGGAACCGAGTTGCCCGAGTTCAAAGTGCGACTGCAAAAGAGTAGAATGACACTAATGTTTGTATTTCCCGTTAAAAGACCAGTGTGTAGAATTTCGTGGCATCTAATGGTGAAGTTGTAGATTGCAACATGTAAAAGGCCCTTACAGCCACTGTTTGTCCCTTCTGGGCTACTGTAGAAATATGGCGGTTCCGCATGGTGGACTCGTACAGGACTCGCTCCCTCTGTAGATAAATATATACGAGTGGTCGACCAATATAGGATTTTCAATGGCCGATGCCAATATTTAGAGAGCAGAGTTGCAGATAACAGATATATAATGCCGATATTAAAACACAGAAAAGCACTGCAGAATTTCTATTCTACAGGAAATTCAGACATATGGGAATCGTTGTGTTTTCTTTATCTTAGAATGAGCTGTTGCCTTCCATGGGGTTTGCCATGTTAAACCGCCATGTTTCTACAGTAGCCCAGAATGGACAAACCAAACACTGGCTCACTTTCTCAACACTTTCTCCTGAACCCTTCACTTCTCATTTCCAGGTTGTCAAATACAGACGGGAGGGGTGTTCAGTTCTGAATCTGAAACGTCACTAAATCCTTCACACTGGTGCTTTGGCAGAAACCTCGGATACAAATTGAAGGCATCTGTTTGAAAGAATTGGCTGTTAACTAGGCAGGGAGGGTCTAACCAAATGACACTATCGAGTTCCATTATGGGAATTTTAGGATCCAGCCTTTTTGAAGACTTAATATATCAGGATATATCGGCCTTTACTGCATCGACTTTGACCTCTGTTTTTTAATCGGTCTCTTGTGAGTTCCTCAGCTTCCTGCAGTTATCGAGCAGCATCTGGCTAGAAATCCTGTCACAAGAGGTGACAAATTAAAATCGAAGGGTGCCAGACACTAGCAAACCTGAAAGAAAACCCCAAAACTTCCTGTAAATATTTCTTCAGTCCCTCCTCCTCCATCTCCACCTAGCCAGAAATAGGAAGAAGAGCAAAGCAAACTGTAAGAAACTGTAATTTGATGACTGTAATCCCATTACTTGTGATCAATTATGAGCCGTTTTATTGGACTGAAATTCCATATGTGGCGTGCATTGAGGAGCAGCTGTAGATATGATCTGTGTGATCTCTCAAACAGGCTTGCTGCTCGCTTTTAGTTTGGACTGAGTGCAGTGAGGCTCCACTGTGAAGCCTGAGGCTGCTTTTCCTCCAAAGTGGAACAAATGGAAGCATGAGGAGGGCTGAACAACTGTTATCTAAAACTGGGGGAAAACAAAAGATTAAATCACGTGTATGATTGTAGGGAGGGATATGGCCATTAGCCCAGATGAAGGATAAAGAGTATGGTGTACCTGCAG